TAGGCTTGTTTTTGCATATAACTTTTGGCTATTTGATGTGTCTATTCAGAGGCTAAAATTCGTACCTGGTCTTTAATTTCTGATTGCCCGTGAAATTTTTCAGGAAAATGCTGAACTAAGACAGGAAAATTTGGACATGCGGATAATTGCTAGTGGTAAAGATAGCGCGAACGGTTCATTTGAAACAGATCCGTTGACGAGCCGCCATGAAGAAGAAAACGATTCATTCTCAACTTCCGATAATGACTCATCTTCTCGCGAGGCTGAAAATACCGAAGAGGCTCTAAAAATGATAGTAACTTCTTTACAGGTAAGAAAAATTTGTTCTTCGAAATCATTCTTTTTTGTTATTCCTTCTGAGGACTTTATTTTTTAAGGATCAAGACATCATGTCAAACAAATTACTATCTTTTCGTCTCCGTTCTTATTCCCGACCATCGTTGCCCTTTAAGTTTTCTCAGCAGATGTCTAAGAATGACTAAAATCCAACAAATAGCATAAAATGTAGTTTCAGAGAAAGATTCAATAAAATAAAAGGTGACTAAATCTAATAAACTGTGTTTCCAAAATTTTGACTTTAGTGAATTGAATTACTGCACATTAAATAGAATATCGAGAAACAGCTCTTAGAAAATAACGAAGGTCAACATATCCGCACCTCTGTGGAACTAAGGTGATCGAATTGACGACTTTGAATGCAGAAGAACGGTAATGGGACTGCACTGTAGCTAAAAGAAGATCTAACAGTTAGTCTCCAATATGTTTAAATTTGCATAACAAAATTTTGGGCATGGTTACTTTTATTAGTTATTCTGATAGATGAGATTACGTAGGTGATTAAGCAAACAACTTTTATTGCCTGTAGCATGATAATGTAACTGATGAACTGCCACCGTCGATATTAAGTCCTGAACAAAGCCTAGTGGCATCTTTTCATCGTACAATCTGCGTCTTAACGTTTCATTCATTACGATTCAAACCACGACTAGTTAGCCATCTCCAAGGATGTCGCGCCTCACTGCCACACGATCGAGCGCTAAATATCTCACCAGCGGTAGCCATAAGGCTTTCTGCTTTCATAAACTGAATTCAGTTACCCCACGAATTTTTCGATGTCAAATCTCGCGGTGTCCTTCCAGATCTTTATTTAACCATCCCTGCGTTAAGCCACCCGTGAAGGGAACAACGTGAACTGTTATTTTTGATCAAAAAAGTCGATGGTCTGGTGTCAGAGCGTTTATGGAAAATATAGATGGTGACAATTGATCTTTTGCTGTGTATTTTACCTGCGCTTTCCTTCGCCAGGCAGATTTGTTTAAATGCATGAACACTCTTTCTTCGCCATTTATTTTTCTTTCAGTGGTAGACTTTCATTACTCTCACTGAGGCGCTGAAAAGTACATTTGTTGCTATTTAATCTTTAAAATACTGATGCCTACTTTCTTCATTGCCGTCCTTTGCCACTGCTATGCGATATTTGACTTACCTGAAGCTAGAATTCAAAAACATATCAGTAAACTGCAACTCTTTGAGGAGTGAAGTTTGTCAATTTAGAAACTTGTTTTATCTTAACGCAGTTTGCAGGATGTAAATACAAAAGGTGTTTATCAATATTTGTTTCTTTTACAAAATGCAAATGGATTCCGAAAAAACCATATTATTTTTTACCTCGTTCATAAAAATTTAACACCGTAGCGACGTACAGAGGAGTATCAGAGATTTGCTGAAGGCAGTTTCGGCACTGAAGTTTATAACAGATTAAATATTGTTCAACTTAATTAATTATGACTATCTTAATGTAATTATGATTTGCTTTGTTTTCTTAGTCTCGGATCGCCAACAAAGACGAAGCCATACAAACCCTCAGGCAGAACATCGAGAAGTTGCAAGTGCAGTTGTTTGAAAATGCCAAGAAACATAGCGACCAACTGCTAACGCTGCATAAGAATGTGACTGAGCAGTGCGTCCAAAGGCTGGCGGTGATCAAAACTGAAACCGCAGAAGAGCTTAAGAAAGACAGAACTTCAGACGTTGAGAAAAACTTTGTAACTCTGAACGACTTTTAACCTTCAGCTAAACATTTATATTTATAGTCTAATATGCTCCAAGACCTAGAAGAAAAACTTAACAAGAAAGATTTGATCATAAAACAAATTACCAACGACCATCGTGATCTTGAAGAAATCTATAAGGATCAGAAGCGAACTCTATCTTTAAAAATTCAGTTTTTACAAAACAAAAATCAAGAGTACGTAAGTTATCGTATTGACTTCTCTGTATAAAATATTTAATCAGTTAAGTTGGATGAAATTTCGCTTTCACGCTTCTATATACACGAAACTGACAGATATTACTCTTTCTTATAATTGTAGACCTGACGTTTGAGCCAGACTACATTGGCCATCCTCAGGTTAGACAAATGTTTGTTTACCCGGATGATGGCCGATGTTGTTTGGCTAAAATATAGACAGTAATGGTAAATAATGATATTTTTGTGTGTTCCTTGTGTCCAAAACCTTGTAGATGATATGTTATTGATGACGAACACACGGAATTTAAATTAGTTTCAGAAGACATTAAGTCAGAATTTATATGAGTGGTGTAATAAATGTTGTAATAATAGAGAATAGTTTTGCACGTCGTGTCATTATGAAAAACAAGATCATGAACGAAGACACTTTAGTCCAACGAAGAGCACGTACGGTATTTTTTCATTGAATATCTTTTTTTAATCCAGACCTTGACACTTATTGGAATAGTGATGGAGTATTGTGATTAACAATGGCTCAATTGCCCTACTCACAGGACTTGAAGGACACAGCAGTGTCAGTTTGGATTGAAATATTACCTTGTATTTTATCGATAATCGGATAGAAGTTTGCTTTTTGGATTTGTAATAGGAATGAAAATCTTGCCTTCTTTCCTTAGTTTAGCTTCTCTTTGATGTGCCAGCATCGCATGAAAAGTCAAATGCATGAACAGGAATTAAAAATAGCAAGATTGGTTAATTTTTAAATAATTCTGCCTAAATATGATTATCTGAAGTGGACCTGAATGAAAAAACTGTCTAGGCACGCGACCAATGAATCCATGCTCGAAAGTACCATCGGTCATTAGCGTGAGACACTGCGTATTTACATAGCATGCTCATTCATGGCCCATCGGCATTTTAGCTTAAGGCAAACTGACTTGAAAATCCAGTTCGTCTGTGTCATTATATTCCCACTCGCAGTCACATTCACCTCTTGACTTCTTCTGTTGAATGTTTCAGTGAAAATGGCGTTGTTTTAAA